TATGTAAACAACTGGTATTACTATTCTAGCTATTCAGACTAATCTTTGTAAATATATGTAAACAACTGGTATTACTATTCTAGCTATTCAGACTAATCTTTGTTAATATATGTAAACAATTGGTATTACTATTCTAGCTATTCAGACTAATATTTGTTAATTTAAGTAAACAACTGGTATTACTACTCTAGCTAATCAGACTAATCTTTGTAAATACATGTAAACAACTGGTATTACTGTCTGAATAGCTAGAATTAATCTTTGTTAATTTAAGTAAACAACTGGTATTACTATTCTAGCTAATCAGACTAATCTTTGTTAATATATGTAAACAACCGGTATTACTATTGATGGTTAATTATTCTCTGTTTTTCTTAACGATCATCAGCAAACCAAAACATGTCATTAGGTCAGTTGTAAATATTAAACAGTTGGTCCGCTGTATAATATCCAAGAATTAATTCGACGAAACGCAATAACGCTGTTCACATTCCTAAGTTAACTTAGATTACTACATGATGACGTAAAACGGACTGAACACCACATAGACATTATATACCGTGTTTGCCGGAATATAATGCGCAATTCTTTCCAACAAATACCTGTCAAAAAACTTATTGCGCATTATATTTGCGCACATTCAGTTTTTTAGTTTTTTTTTACTAGAAATTACCACCGAAAATCATTACAGGTTTCAAAATTGTTGCATATCCAATGCAATAGATGGGACGGATGATGACATGCTGTGGAAATCAGAAGAGGGTGAAGCAAAGGTTCAAAGAAGCAAATCCTATAGTAGCGACAATTCTAGCGATGACGAAGATTTATAGGAAAACGAATGAGTAGCTTAGTGTATTACGACGTACAAACCTTTCAATAAATTTTGTAAAATTGACATAAAAAAAAGTCAATGAAATATTTCCTGAAATGTTTAATACATCAATAGTTGTTTACTGTATTTAGAAATTATTCAATACGCTTTGTTCAACTGATGTGTAAAAAACAAATTTCCTTCAGTTTAACCTTTCAAAACTGAGTGCGCATTATATTTGGGTAAATACGGTACATTTGACAATTATAAGAAGCCCAATGGTGTTTCTTTGGTTAGCTGACCCAAGCTGTGGTGATGAGCCTTGAGCAGGAAAACTGTAGTCTACAGTAGAGGGTACGACCAATCAAAGAAAGCATTAGATTTCTATGTCACAGATTCTTTTTTCAATTTCACCTATGGTGAAAAAGAAATCTTTAACACAAACATACACAGACACATAATTATTAAACAATTGGTCCGCTGTATAATATCGAATAATGAATTCAATGAAATGTAATAGCCTTATTCACATACCTAAATTAATTTAGGTTTCTATATTCTTAATTCTTAGATTCTTATACTCATGAGAAAGAAGTTACTACTGTCTGACTACCTAATCTAATGAGAAAGACGACTTGTTAGACAGGAACTCACATTGTTACAGTCGTGACAGAAAAGAGGAGATGCTCCTAAGATACCGAACTCATCAGCACACAGAATACACTGAGACGCTCCATTACCCATGGCGTTTTTCTTCATATTTTCCAGTTTTTCCACAAGTCGTCTGTAAAAGATTCATGACATTTATAAAATACATTTCGTTTTGAATGAAGCAAAAATTTAGGTGTCATATTGAGTAACGAAAAAGGTTCCAACTTGTAAAACTGGGCTTAGTGTTTAAAAGTCATATCTAGTGAAAGTCCTACTGGATGAGATCCTGGACAAGACACAACTGTATTAAAACAGGTAGAAAATAGAAAATCTGATACCTCGAGCAATCAGAAACACAGGTATCCAGCGTGGTCAGAATCCGAGAAGTTCACTAGAGGATCAAAATATAAGTGTACATCAACAAGAACAGGAGTCAAAGTTCACTAGTGTGTCACCGTTACAACAAAATGTAAGTAAACATCAACAAGAATAGGAGTCAAAGTTCACTAGTGTGTCACCGTTACAACAAAAGGTAAGTGAACAAGAACAGGAGTCAAAGTTCACTACTGAACATCAAAATAACCTGAAGTCAAAGTTCAGTGGTGAACAAACAACACGAACAGGAGTAAAATGTCACTAGTGAACATTAACACGACCTGCAGTCAAAGTTCATATGAAAACATGGTGTAATGTAAATTCAAATCAATCTAGAGGTCAGAGGTAGAGGTCAGCGATGCGGTTTGAATTTGAACGTTAACATATAATTATGTTAATGTTAAGATGTAGGAACAGATTTACAAAACGTGTAGACATTATGCCACATTTCCTGAAAATTAAACCTTAATGTAAATGAGTTAATTCTTTTGAATCTATAATCGCTTGATGCTTTCGTAAGATGACATTCAAATTTCCTTCTTGAACACAGAGAAATCAAGAAAGATACGTGTGGTTTCAACAATAATGTTATCGTATTAGTGTTATTTCAATAATGATACTACAGTGTGTTATTGGATTAGTATTGTGTCAAAAATGATATCGCATTATATTATTGAATCATTGTTGTTTCAACAATGATACCGCATTGTATTATTGGATAAGTGTTATTTTTCAATAATGATATCACAGTGTATTATTGGATTAGTGTTGTTTCAACAATGATATCACAGTGTATTATTGGATAAGTGTTATTTTTAAATAATGATATCACAGTGTATTATTGTATGAGTGCTATTTTTCAACAATGATACCACAGTGTATTATTGGATAAGTGTTATTTTTCAATAATGATATCACAGTGTATTATTGGATTAGTGTTGTTTCAACAATGATATCACATTGTATTATTGGATTAGTGTTGTTTCAACAATGATACCACAGTGTATTTTTGAATTAGTGTTGTTTCAACAATGATATCACAGTGTATTACTGGATGAGTGCTATTTTTTCAATAATGATACCACAGTGTGTTATTGTATGAGTGCTATTTTTCAACAATGATACCACAGTGTATTTTTGAATTAGTGTTGTTTTAACAATGATATCACAGTGTATTATCGAATTGGTGTTGTTTCAGCAAAGATACAACAGTGTATTATCGGATGAGTGCTATTTTAGCAATGATATTAAAAAGTATATTTTGAAAATGTTTCTTCATCAATCCAAATAAAATATATCATTAAACAGGAGTTTCAACAGTGGAACTGCATGTGTGTTATTTGATTCAGTTTTTGCCTGGATTGGACATCATCAGCATTTTACTAAAGAAGCTGACAGGTCCATGTCTCTCTTTTCTAAATGACGGTGGAAATTACTACTGATAAACAGGCACAACTGGAAGTGCTCTCTGAATCTGTATCAATAACACGGTTTAATAACCTTCTCCTCCGGTGGATTATGTGGCCGGTATGCAAATAGAAAGTTTTATAAATACAAGTCTACATTATTCCAGAACTACAGTCGGCTTATAAAGATGTGGGAAATTTGGTGAATGTACATTCTATCAAAATATTATTATCATGCTAAGAAACCCGGGGGAAATTCACTAAATAAACTTCCTAAGATCCTAAGTCGGATATTGGTTTAGGTGATTTAATTCTCATCAGTGAAATATTAAAACGACAAAATTTTAAAAAATACACTTAACTGCACTTTATTGAAAAATAGACCTAGAATGGTATGTTAGGTTCGAAGGGTCAATGTTTGGAAGTGCAATACAAGATTCTTTAAAACACAAATAACACTCGATATTCCTCAAAATGTTGATGGTAATCACTTAATGAAACATGGTAAACATATCGGGGAATATTCTAGACTGTTGATGGTAGTCACTTAATGAAACATGGTAAACATATCGGGGAATATTCTAGACTGTTGATGGTAGTCACTTAATGAAACGTGGTAAACATAACGGGGAATATTCTAGACTGTTGATGGTAGTCACTTAATGAAATGTGGTAAACATATTGGGGAATATTCTAGACTGTTGATGATAGTCACTTAATGAAACGTGGTAAACATATCGAGGAATATTCTAGACTGTTGATGGTAGTCACTTAATGAAACATGGTAAACATATCGGGGAATATTCAAGACTGTTGATGGTAGTCACTTAATGAAACATGGTAAACATATCGGGGAATATTCTATACTGTTGATGGTAGTCATTTAATGAAACATGGTAAATGTATCGGGGAATATTCTAGACTGTTGATGGTAGTCACTTAATGAAACATGGTAAACGTATCGGGGAATATTCTAGACTGTTGATGGTAGTCACTTAATGAAACGTGGTAAACATATCAGTGAATATTCTAGACTGTTGATGGTAGTCACTTAATGAAACATGGTAAACGTATTGGGGAATATTCTAGAATTTTGATGGAAATCATTTAATGAAACGTGGTCAATGTTACCTTTAGATATATGTTTATCAACTAGAAGCTGGTTACATGAAATGATATAAATCATGTTTGTTCTGTATAAAACCTAGTTGTGTTGAGATGCTACGGAAATATATCCAGAAAAGTGTATTTACACAGACTACATTAGAAATAACGCTGTTTTCCTAGTTACGATATTGACTGCCTAGTTACAACACATCTTGATCTTGTTGAACTTTTCTTTCAACCCTGAATAAAATAACCTAATAAAGGACATAGTAACGTAATAATAATGACCTAATAAAGAACATTGTAACGTAATAATAATGACCTAATAAAGAACATAATAATGTAATAACAATGACCTAATAAAGAACATAGTAACGTAATACTAATAATCTAATAAAGAACATAGTAACGTAATAATAATAATAACCAAATAAAGAACACAGTAACGTAATAATAATAACTTAATAAAGAACATAGTAACGTAATAATAATGACCTAATAAAGAACATAGTAACGTAATAATAATAACTTAATAGAGAACATAGTAACGTTAGAATAATAACTTAATAGAGAACATAGTAACGTAATAACCTAATAAAGAACATAGTAACGCAATAACCTAATAAAGAACATAGTAACGTAATAATAATAATAATCTAATAAAGAACATAGTAGCGTAATAATAATAACCTAATAAAGAACATAGTAACGCAATAACCTAATAAAGAACATAGTAACGTAATAACAATGACCTAATAAAGAACATAGTAGCGTAATAATAATAACCTAATAAAGAACATAGTAACGTAATAATAATAACCCAATAAAGAACATAGTAACGTAATAATAATGACCTAATAAAGAACATAGTAATGAAATTACCGTTCGAGTTCAGCAAAAAGAAATATACTAAATCTGCATATTGATATACATACAGATAGACAGATGTGTGGATCGAAGGATACCATAAAAATCTCATTAAATCTTACGATTGTAGAACAAACAATGCGCTTTGCATGTTTATATAATACTGACAAATAATTACCACATACTTTCATGTCTATTCTCACGTATGTTTATATAATACTAACAACTAATTACCACATACTTTCATGTCTATTCTGATGTATGTTTATATAATACTGACAGCTAATTACCAAATACTTTCATGTCTATTGTCATGTAGGTTTATATAATACTGACAACTAATTACCACACACTTTCATGTCTATTCTCATGTATGTTTATATAATACTGACAACTAATTACCACACACTTTCATGTCTATTCTCACGAAGGCTTGCAAAAGTAGAAATATAATCTATTTTACTCGTTCCCATGGCAACAAATTCTTAACACCTACTCAAAGCTATGGCCAGTGATTGATGGCCAAGCTAACTGCTTGCACATTTTACGTGGGCTTCGTTAAACGAACGATGGAGGATAACTAACCACAAGAGCTGAGAAATTGGGTTCAAGCTTCTTGATACAAAAACACTAACTAACCGTATACAGTAATAACCCACATCCAAGACTCTTCTATTTAGAAACTCATTGTTAGCTTCGGCTGTTACCTGGCTGGTAACGAGTCCGAACTGTTGGATCCAACTGTCACCTGGTAATGAGTCAGAAGTCTGGATCCAACTGTTACCTGGTAAGGAGTCAGAAGTCTGGGATCATAAACAAACTTCTCTCTTACTAATTCAAACAGTGCCTTAGCAATCGTGCCGATACTACAGTAAACTATCTTCATCAACACGAAAATCAACTAATAATACAAAACATTCACGCACTGAAAACTTTAAACAGTCAGGACAGACGTACTAAAACATTATTAAATCAGAACCAACAGAAAACATTCACGCACTGAAAACTAAACAGTCAGGACAGACGTACTAAGACATTATTAAATCAGAACTAGTAGAAAACATTCACACACTGAAAACTTTAAACAGTCAGGACAGACGTAATAAGATATTATTAAATCATAAGTAGCAGAAAACATTCACACACTGAAAACTTTAAACAGTCAGGACAGACGTAATAAGACATTATCAAATCACAACTAACAGAAAACATTCACACACTGAAAACTTTAAACAGTCAGGACAGACGAACTGAAACATTATTATATCAGAACTAGCAGAATACATTCACGCACTGAAAACTTTGGTCAGTCGGTACAAAGATACTAGAATATTATTAAATCAGAGCTACAGAATAAATTCACGTACTAAAAAGTTTAAAACAAACAGCGTAAATATACTATAGCTAAGCCTATTACTTAATCTAAACAAAATACTGCTACAGATGGGAAATCTTATCAAACCTCTTGGCGATCTAAAAATCCCAAGATATTCTGATAGATCATGAGTAAACTAAACATCTTATATTTTAATTTTTACTTGTGGTTTAACTTTGCTCTCATCCTTTCGAGGTTGATTTTATTTTGTTAGTTAGAAAAGCAATACAACATTCCTACGACACTGCTTCGTTTATGAAATGAAAGAATGATTTTAACATATACAAGGTAGTCCATTCATTACATCAACTCGGCCACAAAGTGACTGCAGCAAAACATTAGAATCTACAGTCTGTGATGACAAACATGTGGAAAATTAGGTTAAAACTGTATGAAAAAACACACAGTAGAAAAGACCGTAGGACGTGGAAAAATAATAAAAATGTTTTTTGTAATAGTTTGTTATTTTTTGTTATTGACGTGTGTTTTACCATTTTTGAACACTTTTTTTTTTCATAAAGCTGTATGAACACGTTCATACATTGTTCATACTTTCGATAGAATACGTTTTATAATCGTTAATCCATTATAGCTATTTGAAGTAGTTTACTGATTATATAAAAGACTCACATAACGAGGTACTTTTTGTGGATTTCTCCTCACTTGTGTCTATTGGTGACAAAATAGCACAGCACACTAGCAAGACAATATGTGAACTAGTTTACGATAATTAATAATTATACTAGTATAAAAGCCCGTTAAAAATGACGGGAAACCATTATTGAATTATTAATTAAAATTACATAATTTAACTACAACGAATTTGTCTGTACCTACAAAATGCACCTACTCTTCGCTTATTTCATCAGTCTCGAAGTAAATCTTTAATCACAACATTTTTAGTATAAACTACACTTTGTACGGAGAAAAATGAAATGTTATATTGAACAAAAGTATGCGTGAACTCTGAAAAAGACTACACTACCACTCTTGAGCCTTTTCACTGTATTCTAGGTCTGGAAGTAGAAAACATAGTGCGGACATTCTGACACAAATTTTCAACTCTTTCGACTGTACAAAGGTTAAAAGATATTTGGTTGTCATAAAGCTTCCGAATTAAATTATTTTGCTGTTATATCTCCGAAGTTATCAAAAAATAACGAATAAAAAACAAACCTTCCTAACAAATTAACAGGAATATTGAGCATTCAACATAAACACCATAGTTGGCCTAAGAACAATCAGGTGATGGTTTTGTTGCTATGCGACGATGTATATTGTTGAGCATTACCAAAAAAGTTGTGTGAAAGCGTTCTCGACAGAGTGACAAAGAGTTTAAGCCTGTTACAGTTAATGATAAAAGACAGATCGTATAAAGCGTTCTCGACAGAGTGACAAAGGGAATAATCCTTTTATAGTTAGTGATAAAAAGACACTCTCATATCGAGGTACGTTTTATTGTGGACTTCTGCCTTGCGTTTATTGGAGACAAAACAAAATAGCACACCACTAAATCAAACAATCGCAAGCTACCAAGAAACTATTGGGTGAAAGTAACTTAACCTGAACATCACATATATATATATACAAACAAGAAGGGTAAACGGCCAGGTACTGAGGTACAGCCGTTCCTAATTTTGAGCTACTGACCAGAGGAAGGGTAGCCACCAGCAGTCTCCGCCACCACAAAAGCCATTTCCCAACTTTTTGAAACAAATGAAAATGTTACTTTTATAACACGTACACAGTCCTTGAATAGCTTTGCACGAAATTCAATAACCAATCAAACAAACAAAAAATTGTGTGTTTTCAACAATATGGTTCAAATTGTTCATAGTTCATATATTAGCAGGTATTTACATAGTATCCGATAGTTCAAATATTAGCAGGTATTTACATGGTATCCGATAGTTCAAATATTAGCAGGTATTTACACGGTATTCGATAGTTCAAATATTAGCAGGTATTTACATAGTATCCGATAGTTCAAATATTAGCAGGTATTTACATGGTATCCGATAGTTCAAATATTAGCAGGTATTTACATGGTATCCGATAGTTCAAACATTACCGTCGTTAAGTTCTGAGTCCGTAGAAATCGTTTGAAACAACAAAACCCAATAATCCTCACGTGTAGTTTACTTGGTGCGCGACAGGCGACGTAAACTTTATAGTTCTGATATTAAATTGCTGATCTGAACCTGAACGAAATCAGGTTCATTAGAAAGCCCACTTTTACTATAATCTAACTATTACCACGTAAAAAAAGAATTCACACTAAACAGAATGTATAACTTTGTGATAAGTGTGATAAAAGTTAAAATAAACTTTCCATCTTCATATAACTGACATTATGAAAGTGCAATAATTTCTGATAGGGGGCCCTCAGTTTAACCACGACGGTTAAAAAACAACAGAATAGTTTTGTTGATAATTTCCTCACAAGATTAGAGGGAAGGCAACTGGTCAACAGCACCCACTGTCAACTCATGTTGGATCGAATAACGGTATTTGACAGTCACTTTTGTTACGCACCCACAACACCAAAATGCGAAGAGCGGTTTTGTGTCGCTACGGGACGCGACTATGAACCCTTGGATTCACGTAAAATCCCGGCATGCCAGGTCTTTTAAATATATACTTATAAGAATGTTACCAGTTTAGCATATTCTATTGATTCAATATTTTCTAAACAGCTTGTTCAAAATAGTGTAGTGTATTTTTTATAACTAATAATGACCGTCAACTAGTTTCAATTCCAGCATGGTGCAGTGGTTACGATGCCGCGCTGCGGATCGCAAGGTACAAGTTTTTCGAAATTTGGCAGGGGAATATTTTTGCGGCAATTCATTTTGGATAACTGATAACACAAACCATTAAAATATCAAAGGTCTTAATTATATTTGTGATTTTCCAAAGAAAATGATAAAACATCTCTAGCTATGCTTACTGTTTGACCGAATAACCATCGTTCTATTACTTCTTTCTTACTTTCCACTAAAGATTTCCAATCTTAGAAATTAGATATAATCCTCAATGATAATGAGTATTTCTCAGCACCACAGAACACTACAGATGGACACTGAGAAGTTAGACTCAAATCTCAATGATAAAGAATATTTCTCAACTCCACAGAACACTACAGATGGACACTGAGAAGTGAGACTCAAATCTCAATGATAAAGAATATTTCTCAACTCCACAGAACACTACAGATGGACACTGAGAAGTGAGACTCAAATCTCAATGATAAAGAATATTTCTCAACTCCATTGAGATTTGAGTCTCACTTCTCAGTGTCCATCTGTAGTGTTCTGGTATAAAGAGTATTTCTCAGCTCCACAGAATACTACAGATGGACACTAAGAAGTGACATATACAGACACACAGACTTGGGTAGATTTTCTCTGTAAGAAATGATCTGTTAAACATTTATTTTTATACCAAATGTACATAATCAAGCTTTTATTACTTTTTAAATAGAAGTTACACATCACCTTGCAGGTTCTTATTTTAGGAGTTTCTCAGAATTGTTCCCTCTTTACGTTTCCTGTTTGTTTTTTGTTCTGATGTTTAAATAAAGTTCTGTTTTTATTCACATATTCTCGCTACACATTCACATTCTTTATACTCCACTAAAAAATTGATTAAATACTCACCCAATACGTTCCTGTTCCTTCAGTTCCACATTTTCCGCTCTCTTGATCACATTCATGATGGTTTCCTGTTCTGAGTCGTTTAACTGCTCGGGTTTGTGGAAGAAGTTGGCCGAGTTTGTCTTCACCGACCAACCAGATTTTAGTCTATACCAAAGCGAATGAAAACACTTTGCAGTTAATAATAACACTGGATTCAAAATATCTCCCACAAGAAATGCGCAGAAGATAAAAAGACACTTTTTCAGTTGCTTTTTGAATAAACTATACGAAAGCTTAAAAAGCTCAAGGACAGAGAAATAAGAGCATTTTAACCATACAACGAATACTTTCTGTCTATAATTCATACAGTAAATTACTATAAACACAAAGAATCGAATACATAGAAAGAAATGAATCACAATTTAAAACTATCATTTGTAAGAGGTGGGTGTTGGTCTGAAAATCACGTCGTGAAATAGAAGACAAGACTGAGGAATCTACAAATGTCACACGGGCCTGTATTGGGTTAAATTCGCTAAAACGTCTGCCGTCTGAGTTGTTGTATAGAAAGTACCTTCGGATGTATAAGTAATCATCTTTTATAGGTGGCAGTGTATTCATGAAGAACAAAACAAAGGTGACAACTGAAGATTTGTTTTAAATATCTACAAAGTTAGCACAAGAAGCCTGTACATCTGAATTAGAAGTCCTCTCGAAATTATAAAAATGTGAAAGAAATGCCTCAAAATTTAACCGAGTAAATGGCTTTGTTTTTGAACTTTAACAAGATGGCGGCTATTAAAACGTCGTTCAATTTACTTGTCCACTTTTGTAGATCTTTCTTCCCCATTTCATTTTGTTTCGTGCATAATAACGTTCTATCTCAGTTGCTCTACCGAAATATCTTAAATAATGATCATTTCAACCAATTTGAAAACGGTGAGGGAAAAAGTGATTAAAATACTACGTGACTGCTATTCCATTATCGTGAGTTGTATCACGTGCCATATTCCGATCAACCAGAAATTGTAGTATTAGTATAAGTCTGTAAAAGAACAGACAGTCATTCTATACGTAAGTATGCGTTCATGATAGTGGTAATAAAACGTAAGGGACACCAACAAAGTACTGTACACCCTCGTGCTACAAATTCTTGGAACAGTAATAACACATTAACACTGAATGTCACCAACAAAGTACTGTACACCTTCGTGCAACAAATTCTAGGAACAGTAATAACGCATTAACACTGAATGTCACCAACATGGTACTATACACCCTCGTGCTACAAGTTCTAAGAACAGTAATAACACATTAACACTGAACATCACAAACACAGTACTGTACACTCTCGTAGTAACAAGTTATAAGAACAGTAATAACACATTAACACTGAATGTCACAAACAAAGTACTGTACACCCTCGTGCTACAGGTTTTTGGAACAGTAATAACACATTAACACTGAATATCACAAACGCAGTACTGTACACAACTCGTAGTGACAAGTTCTAAGAACAGTAGTAACACATTAACGCCGAATGTCACGAGCAAAGTACTGTACGTCCTTACAAAATCTAAATAAGAGTGTCACTGTGTGAAGAGAACAAGAATCATGAAGAAAAAAGTTCATGTAGAAGAAATTAAAGTAAACAATACGTCATAAGCTAGTTATTTAACGTGTAAAGCCAATAAACAATACGTCAGAAGCTATATATTTTCCATGTAAGGCCAACAAACAATACGTTATAAGCTACTTACTTGGCATGTAAAGTCAACAAACAATACGTTATAAGCTACTTACTTGGCATGTAAAGTCAACAAACAATACGTTATAAGCTACTTACTTGGCATATAAAGTCAACAAACAATACGTTATAAGCTACTTACTTGGTATGTAAAACCAACAAACAATACGTTATAAGCTACTTACTTGCCATGTAAAGCCAACAAACAATACGTTATAAGCTACTTACTTGCCATGTAAAGCCAACAAACAATACGTTATAAGCTACTCACTTGGCACGGAGAGCCAACTCCCTATCATTTGGGCAAACCCACTTATCTCTAGATGACTTGAAGTCCCCCATGGTTAGTTGAGGTTCTCTAGTGACAGAAAAAAAATTACATAAAGTGCAGTTACAGAATTTTTTATTTACAAAACGATAACAAAGTCAATTTAAATTTACAAAAACTGTGACGATACACTCACCTTACGCTTCAAAACAAGCCTATAGTATTTAACTGTCAGAAAGAATAGTGGGTATTGACCTTCACTCTTATAACGCGAACGGGGTATCTCAGATCCACAGTTTGGCACGTTAACCGCTGTGCCCGACTATTCACGTGTTTCGTCAGTTTGCAAAGATATTCGTCCCGAACAATCTTTACACTACGTAGAATAGAGTGCTAAACAAACAATAGTTGTACAATAAAAACAGACAGTTGTAAAAAGTATAGTGCTAATTATAGTTTAACTAAATTACATATAAGAGAAAGAAATCTTAAGACTACAGTTCCAGCTCATGTGATCAAACTTGAGATGGGTGTAGTAAAGTCGGTCGTGAAGGTCTACGATGGAACTATTTCATTTATAATCTTGGGCTTCATGTTAGGGGTAAAAAAATTACTCCCCTAATTTGATTTTAAATAGTATCTCAAATGAACCAACGCTGTTAAACAATATACAAAAGAATGGGAAAAGTTCTACTAAATTTACAGTATTGAAAATATGGTAATTTTCTAATAATTACAGTTAGACATTCTTGTTAACTTAAGACTGCAGAACAGACATAACTACTAAAAGTGTACGATAATAAAGAACAAATTGACACGTCTAAATGAAAAAAATTCTAGTTTATTTTGTGTGACGTTTCAAGATGCCAAAACCGTGTCACAACTGAATTATTCAAGTTTCCATATAACTGTCGATTGTAAACCTACAGTGTAGACATAATCAACAACTAATACAAGTGTAGTCACGTTTCTATAGTTACACCTTCCATATAACTGTTGATTGTAAACCTACAGTATAGACATAATCAACAACAAATACAAGTGTAGTCACGTTTCTATAGTTACACCTTCCATATAACTGTTGATTGTAAACCTACAATATAGACATAATCAACAACCAATACAAGTGTAGTCACGTTTCTATAGTTACACCTTCCATATCACTGTTGATTGTAAACTACAATATAGACATAATCAACAACCAATACAAGTGTAGTCACGTTTCTATAGTTACACCTTCAATATCACTGTTGATTGTAAACTACAATATAGACATAATCAACAACCAATACAAGTGTAGTCACGTTTCTATAGTTACACCTTCCATATCACTGTTGATTGTAAACTACAATATAGACATAATCAATAACTAAGACAGGTATAGACACGTTTTTAGAGTTGCAACGCTGAAGGTTCACAGACGTAGGAGTTGAAGATTTCACACCTATTTCAGTTAAAAACCTTTATAAGAAGAGGTGTATGAACTATCACAACGACCTCTTAATGTAACTCCCTCTCTATATATAAACCTACATCACTTGATCTACATTTCTAACGAATATGTACATTAATTTTACATAGAGAAAAATCAATTCTCAACATAATATTATAAAAATTAAAAGGGAGCGTTGAACAAAACGACACTCAGGAAGATACGAAATAAAGTAATACATAAAGATTAGAGAAAGCAAACTTGGGGATATTAAAGAAAATCCCATTTTACGAGCAAGATAAATGTGAAATAGGAATCTTTTTCTTTGTACAGCAGAAATATCGTGACCCCAGAAAATACTTTTTATCTCCCACGATTTCTAGAACATCGTGTCAAATCACTGTGCGTCTCCTAAGAGTATTAAATAAATACATTAGGTCGTCAAGAAATTAATGTCGCTTTTTTTAGATGAAAAAACCCGAATAACTGATATATATCAAAACAAAACATTTATTAAATGATATAGTCTCCATTCTTATTGATGATGCTTTTCCATCTTACGATCAGATTGTTAATGCCCTGATTAAAAAAATCACTTTGCTTTAAAGCAAAAAACATGTCGATGTCCTCTTTAACATCTTTCACATTTGCCTAGGTTTTCCCATTAAGAT